CTCGGTCAAAATCGGTGACCTATTTTCCCCTACACCCCCCCCCCCAATAGGAATTCGTGTGTTTTGTCTGGGTGTGTGGACCGACCTATGCAGCGGTACCACTATTGGAGCCGAGCATACGATAATGGTTCCACTCAACCCAACTTAGCTTTATTAGCTCCGTGCCGCACGAAACGACCAAAATGAGTGACGAACAACAGGAGAGCTGGTGTCCGACGCGACGGCACTGCAGGCGAACATCATTTGCGCAAAGAGAAATTCTCACATAACTTGTGCTGGTCGACGGCAAAACTACTCGGGAAGCCGCTGAAGTCGCCGGTGTTAACGCGAGTACGGCAAGGAACATCATTAATGCCTACAAGCGAGAAGGCTCAAATACACAGCGCACCTGCGGTGGAAACAATAGGGAGAAGCTGACTCCCAATGTATTGCAGCGTGTCGAAGAAGCGGTTGAACGGCACTCTGAGGACACGTTGGTGCAGCTGCAGATGCGCCTGAGAGAGAATGGGATAAACCTATCAGTATCCTCTGTCTCCAACACCCTCAGAAGACTAAAGATAAATCTCAAAAAGTGTCAATACGAGCTCGACCGAGTCAACGGTGCCACGACAATCGCTAGCCGACAGGCGTACGCTCTCGAGTTCTCGGCACATGCACCTTCTAACGAGGAGAAATGCATCTTCATAGATGAGAGTGGTTTCAACCTTCATCTGAGGCGAACTCAGGCTCGCTTATGAAGAGGGACGCGCGCGAACTTCGTGTTACCCACAGTCAGAGGTCGCATGGTAACCCTGATTGTTGCAATGAATAACCAAGGCGTCATCCATTCAAAGATCATTAACGATGGCACCTGCAATGGTGCGAAGTTCTCAGCGTTCGTCGAGGAACTGGTGGCGCGTATAAGCTGCATAGTGGAGATGAACGGCGCGTGGCTGATCATGGACAATGCCAGGATCCATATGCCTGATGAGCTAAGCAGGATCCTTGGTTCGTCTTATCACATGCAGTTCTTGCCGCCCAACTTGTACATGTTAAACCCGGTAGAACACGTCTTTTCAAAGATGAAAGCGTCGGCGAGACGCCTGCTTATTAACCCCACACCTGAGCAGACGCTGAGCACGGTCATTCAGGACAGCGTTGGGATGGTAACGCAGCAGGACTGCATGAACTGCGTTCTCAATACGATGATGAACCTGACGAAAGCGACAGCCGGACAACCCTTCGTCAACTGATCTTTGCTATGGTTACTGTCTTATTTTTTGTTAATACACCATTTCAATTTCAAAATGTGCGTTTTCCATATTAACAGTTGGCTTAGCGTGTAAGAGCAGGACGGTCACCGAGAATTCGAGAGCGTACGCCTGTCGGCTAGCGATTGTCGTGGCACCGTTGACTCGGTCGAGCTCGTAATGACACTTTTTGAGAGTTATCTTTAGTCTTCTGAGGGCGTTGGAGACAGAGGATACTGATAAGTTTATCCCATTCTCTCTCAGGCGCATCTGCAGCTGCACCAACGTGTTCTCAGAGTGCCGTTCAACCGCTTCTTCGACACGCTGCAATACAATGGGAGTCAGCTTCTCCCTATTGTTTCCACCGCAGGTGCGCTGTGTATTTGAGCCTTCTCGCTTGTAGGCATTAATGATGTTCCTTGCCGTACTCGCGTTAACACCGGCGACTTCAGCGGCTTCCCGAGTAGTTTTGCCGTCGACCAGCACAAGTTATGTGAGAATTTCTCTTTGCGCAAATGATGTTCGCCTGCAGTGCCGTCGCGTCGGACACCAGCTCTCCTGTTGTTCGTCACTCATTTTGGTCGTTTCGTGCGGCACGGAGCTAACAAAGCTAAGTTGTGTTGAGTGGAACCATTATCGTATGCTCGGCTCCAATAGTGGTACCGCTGCATAGGTCGGTCCACACACCCAGACAAAACACACGAATTCCTATTGGGGGGGGGGGGTGTAGGGGAAAATAGGTCACCGATTTTGACCGAGGCGAACGGCACTCATGTCAAGAGAAGGGCTTACACAATCACCCGCTATGTACACAGTTCGGTTACATTATCGTGACCACAATGTGGCCTGAACATCGTGTAATCGTCCCACTCCTCAGTAGTTGATATGTTGCAACAATAGGCTATAGATCTAGACTGGTTTAGCTGGGGGTCATTACAGCCTACGCTGATACAATAACGTGGCAGTTGCGAAAGCTAATAGAGAGACGGGCGAAGCTGGGACACCGCCTACCTGCTTCATCCGACATGGTCCCATTGACCGAATCGGACAAGGTTCCCTCTAATGAGAACAACGGTGCACATTGAGATTGCGCATCGCAATCCACTCACAAAATAATTGATACACAATTACGATTCGGACGTCCGATTTTCCAATTGTCACACACCTACACAGGTTGATGCGTATGGGCACTACACACCAACTAGGCAAATGTCAATGGGGAGAGGGGAGCGTAGTTCAGAACTTCGGTCGCTGCTCACGATCAAGGAAATGTTTTATAGTGTAGCCCGATGCTTACACAATGCCGGTGTATTAGCGTCATCACAATGTATATTCTGAACATCATTCAGCAGTCTTACTGCTCGTTTCTTACCAACAAATTGGCGAGTTGCTACTTAGATTGCAACGTGTCCAATTTGTTTTGCAAAACGTCCAATGTGGTTTGCAAAATGTCCAATTTCGTTTGCAAAATGTCTAATTTGGTTTGCAAAATGCCCAATGTAATTTGAAAAATGTCCAATTTAAAGTGGAAATGGTATATATATATATATATATATATATATATATATATATATATATATATATATATATTCCAGTTCAATCTACAGCACAGAAACGCACAGGGTGTCATGTTAATAAGCACTAGATGCCGAAAAGCAGCGCCCCTTATCCGGTTCAACCGCTAGAGATGGGTAGTACTGCCAAGGTATCAGTGGTTAACACATGCAGTCTCTTAAAGTTTCCCGCGCGCCGTGTACAGGTCTTTCACGCCTACAGCAGTACTGTTGGTACCGTGGCGTCGTACGTTATGCCCTCAACCAATAACCCTATATCCCGTAGCCTCTGTAAATGAACACGACTTTGATAAGTCATACTATTATTGAGGCGTGCAGTAGCCCCATGGTGATATGAGCACGAGGTTTGATACGTTCACCTAGCTGTGTACGCTGATCGACTACTTCGAATGGTTGTTGAGCGGTAGTGAAAAACAGTAGGTTGGTCCATTCTTGTAACAATATTTAACAGATTGAAGGTGCAAACTCCATTCCGAAGTGCGAAGAAACACGAACTTGCCAATTCACTAACAACACACTCTAATTCTGGTAATCATTAGAGTAACAAAACCCTTATCCCAAATAGAGCCGGAAAATCCGCACAAGCTGCGTAAACGGTGACGGACTGCTATTGTGTTTCGAATCTCAGGTCGAGATGGAGTCTTTCAGTCAACTGGCTACGGGAGTCTGCGCCATCCGAGCGCGAAGCCCCTTGCATGTAAGCGGTCGACCTAATTCTTTTACGAAGTTCTATGCAAAACGAGACAGGCTGCGTTCGTCACCGTGGATGAGGGCGCTAGCGACGAACCTGCAGATGTCGCTGACAAACTATCACCCGATAGCGGAAAAGCGTAGCAGCAAATGCCTCATGTTGCCTCCATCATTTCTTCATCCCACCTGCGCAGTGGACTGATGCTCTCTTCTCGCCTACTACCTTAACTTATAGTCACCTCTGACCTCCTCACCTAACAGGTCAAGTTGTGATTCCACACATTTTCTCTAAGGTGACAGTCTGATGCTACGCGTCACGGTACATAGCCCGTGCCAGACAAAGTGGTCCCTCACAACGATCAATCTCAAATTCCATGTAGGAATGAATATAGGTTACACAGTAATCAACTGCGTTTACATAGTGCACAGTAAGGTATTAGTCATTTCATGAGTCCTCTGCACTCCCTTCATTGACTACAGTGCACTTTTGTTAGTCTACCTTCCTTCGCCATTCCCTCTCACAAGATTCACTGAAAAGGGTTGGTAGAACATGCTTGGATAGTCCCGTCACCAGAACGACATACACGGGGAACGTTCACATGAATTGATAGAAGGCTAACCTGTTGATCTTCTAACACATCCTACTGGGAATACCACCGCCTCCGACCGCGTTTCCCTCGGATACGAACAACTGCATCCTACCTTGCCTGCTTTCGAGAAACATTACTACAAGCATATAGTTGACTTGGAGTCAAATTTTCCTACACACTAGATCCATCTCGCCAGCGAGGAATAGCTTACAGCGCATTTATTACAACATATTTTCCTGAGATACATAACCCCTTGCTATTCAGTGGACTGGAATTCTCTGCGGAGCACATTCTTTTCAATTACTTGGTGTTGCACTGATGTACATGACATGCCCACCTCGCCAGTGAGTTATAACTTCAAACCAAAATATTCTGTTCCGAGATTACCTCATTCCTGCTATTGACTAGACAGGAAAATTCAGTCTTAATCGCTTTGTATAGTCGTGCCAAGCATTCTCAATGAAATGGAAAACTAAAGAAACTCCCCAACATTTTCGCGACATCAAGTCATGATCCACAACTACTAGCACACCTCGCAGTTCGCAAGTAAATCTGATCCATATTTGCACAATCATTTCAAAACATGCTACTATGCGAAGCACGAAATGATGGTAACAGTTCGCATCGTCGAGGAATGTACAATTTGCTTTCTTATTTCTGACGACAGCAGTGCATCTGTGATTTGAGCCGATGCATCGCTGCAGATTACAGTTTATCGGCACAGCAAATAGACCAACAATATAAATTTTTTTTAATTGTGGGTTCGTCGAAGCCAGTACCAAATCAGATAGTCGTCAACAGGCCTGGAAAAGCACTAGACTGCAATTTCAGTCTGTTAGGCATCATCAGTAGTGCGCATCCATCAGGATTCGAACCCATGACCACCGCGGGAGTAATCATCAACGTAAACAACTCACTTAGCCACCGTGTCCAAAGGAGTCCAAGAGGAGTGATCAGCCTTGGGCATCCATTTCCGATTCATCGGAGTGTCCAAAATTTTACTACAACAAACAGAGTGATGGCAGCGAGAGTAAAATGACCGTTAATCTGGTTCATGAGCAGAGAAAGACGGAAGCAGTAAATGATATCTGTTGTCTAGTACCAACGTCAATAACAACGACGATGGCGACAACACACAAACAATACAATGAGGCTTCTTAAGCACACATCACCAGAGAAGTAGTAATGAGAGAAAATAAAAAGGGCAAGAGGACGGAGGTCGTACGATAAATCTACATGTAAAGTCAAACGTTCAGGTTCAAACGAACAATGCAGCCATAAACAAATCCCCAGTTGCGATGAAATAACCAAGTGTATCCAGTGAGTACTCCAGTGTCAGGCGAACGAAGTTACAGTAAGAGATGGTGGGCAAACACATCAACGTTGCCGGTCACGGGGAGACGTTTTATAGGGTTTAGAGACAAGAACAGAATGTGGCGCGTGTACTCCGGCACAAAAAGTGGTACGTGCCAACACAAACAATCTAGCGAACAGCAATGTTTAGTCTAACGCCCAAGCCAACGATGGCTCCTCTACCGAGGGTTTTATCAACCAACATTGGACACATAATACATGAACAACGGCTATCGTCATCCAATAATCGCATGCACACACCCTCGGTGTGGACACATTGGAGCCACAGCATATGAACAGAATGTAGGCAATGATAACCAAAAGGGGTGCTATTAGAAGGAGAACCTAAGGAATTGATCGGTGGACCCTATATCGGCCAAAAGATAGTCTTAACCCCTGAAATTAAGCGGAGAACATTCTCGAACAAACTGATGTAATTATTACTAAGCAAGGAATGCAACATAACTGAGAATATTGGACGACGTAACCGGGAGCATATAAAAACAACTCGTCTGTGGCATGACATTGCTTTATTATTTGTGGCTGTAGAACCGGTAACCGAAGCAGCGCCTCTCGAATAGCCAATCCGAGCGGCCGGGTTCAAAACAGAAAAACAATGCGACTATGTGGACCATTAAAATTTCGAAATTAAAGAACCAGAAAATGCCACTTTGAGTGACACAGGCGAACACATACATCAACCGAGAAAATTTAAAAAAGTCACACAACGCTGATCGAGAAAATCTTGTAGCGTTTTGCAGTGCAAGCAAGATCAAGTGCCAAAAGGCAGCTGTCTTTAGTCGATAGCTTGTGTGCTTGAGTTAGCAACCGAATTCCTTCGCGCATATACGTTTGCAGTGACTCATGCCGGTCGCCTGAACGCGAGGTCAACACGTGACCGTTTGGCTATGCCCTGTCTCACTATGTCCGAAATCCACTTCATCATGCCAAGCTGTGCTAGATTACGCATTGACTCCACCAGCCTGTGGCTGACTGTGTGTAGCTGCTACTGAGTACATACGACTGGCTGACGAGACTACGCTGGCTCAACTACTGTGTGTGAATTCCGCACTTATTTGGTTTCGGTCTTCAGCACTTCTGTTGCATCTGGATGCCCTAATAACTGATTCTGCTTACAATTTTTCGTCTTCTATTTGCAGATATTCGTCACCGACGCAGTATTAGTTCGATACACTAAGGATGCTAAATTTACGCTTCAGTATGACGCGAAGGCCGACTTAACCTCAGAATCATGGCTTGGAAGATGCAAAGACATCTTCCGGTCCGAAGTTGCAGACTCAATCTGCTCCAACGAAAGCTGGGAATCAAATGCATCAAAGGTCTCACTTTTGGTCAATTTGTGCTATGTTAAATGACATTTTGATTAACAATATTCTTAGTTGAGCACGCGATACAGTTGCACAAACCTCCTTGAGTGCACATCAAAAGATATCGTAACTTATGCAACTAATGCCGACCGTCACTATATTTCAAGGAAAAGACAAACGATGAGTTCAAGACGTGTATTTTCGTTTGTGATCTCCAAACGCCCGGGGATGTCGAATGGCATAGGATTACTTCGGAAAATTGAGCAGGACACCTCCATTAAGCTCATGTTAATCACCCCTAAGTGCTAAAGCCAGATCAATTTGAAACAAGGCACGAAGATAACTGCCCAGAGTCACAGTCCATGGTCCAGAGGCGAAATCTAGAGAAGGCCCCGAACTCTATGGAGCCAAGCAGGCCGCCATACGCATGTTGGCAACGTGTGGAACGGCAAAGCGTTAGAATCTGCCACTTTATAAAGTATCGTTAACAAAAAAGCAACAATGAAAAGTAACGCTCTTCTGTCATCCTTAGCTATTAGAGTCCTGAAATAATTTACTAATAGCTCAACATGAACCACAAATGTTTACTACATACACTGCAGAGCAACGTATCGGAGGTGTGACCCATACTAAACTGTTGACAGGCTATTGTACGTATCATCGCGAATACCAGCAGAAATAACGCTTGCACTGAAGCAGTATTACAATTTAAACAAAGTGGTACTTATAAGTACCGCCAGGACACAAAGGGTCAAAAGTAACGTTCCCTACAAGTATTCCCAAATGATTGTATCCATACCATTATACTGTTTTTGATACCTTCGACACCGGGACCGCAAATCGCAGAAAGTTCGTTAGAGTAGCCTGCGCCTCCAAACTGACATTACATTAAATACCACGATTATATCCAATAAAATTTGGAATCATGTACTCAGAGAAGAATATGGGTTGTAACCAATGTTTCAGGAGGAGGGTTGAAACTACTCGGTGAAATTTGATCCCCGTAAAACTTGTGAGGACTACCAGTTCGAAGAGGTTTGTTAAATAAGGCACCCCGATCTGAACTTACTCGGTCTCGACTAGAATGAGAATATAAAACTACTTGAAGTTCTCTTGAACTCTAAGTGCAGCAAATTAAGCGACACAACAGTGAAGTGGACGGAGAATCCACAGAATAAATAGCCGTAGGTGTTACAGGATGGTCTTGGATTGTACACGATAAGCAATACCAGTATATCCCCGCAGTTAAATGTCAGTCTTTTAACCAAAACGGCAGGTTCCACAAGCAGTCGTTTCAATCGTCGGAAAAAAACGTGACAGGCCACAGCCGGTCATAGTTGTCAAGCTGACCAATTACATTTCCTGGACCGCGCCCTTAGGATTGTCAAGAAGCCAAAAGGAAAGGTCTGCTTATGTGCAGATTATTCAACAGGCTTGAATGCTGTGTTGGAAGACCGCAAGCACCTCATACGTCTTCCTAAAGGCAAGTGTTCCGACCTGTCCGACGTGTAACGCCAAATTGAAATAACGAAAATCGCGGATAATGTCCAGGATAAACACCCGCCGAGAACTGTTCCAGCATACACGCTAAACATTTGAGGTAAAATCGGCGCCGACAATTTTTCTGCGGATCAAGGATACGATGCTATGAGGAATACTATATGCGCAACCTAACTGGATGATGTCGACATCATGGGATCTAACTTATAAGAATTGCGCTTGGCAAAATACAGGGGCAAGGATTCTGTCTGAGAATGTATAAGTGAAGGTTCTGTATGAGGTCCACTAAATACCTCGGTTTTATTATTGATCAAAGTGGGCGACGATCAGATCCATAAAACATCAAAGCGACCAAGGGCATGCTTCTAATTAAGGAGGCTATTTTCTTGATATGGTGTATGTCAAGACTAGAGGTTAGCCGTAGTAAGTTGGCAGAAGAAGGAAAACGTGTACGAAGTGAGGTATGTTCAACAAATAACACGGAGCAGGTTACAGCATAAGAAGCGCAGTTGGGTGTACCTACGCAAGCATGCAAAATCAATACATTTTGAGCTAGCGTCAGTCATTGATCAACAATCAACATGTGACATCTTTCATCGTCGTGGCTGAAGTCACATTCCTGGTTGACAAGGTTCTACCGGTTTGCAAATTTGGCTGGACCACCGAAGTATGGTCTCACTTGTTGTTTCGGTTTTCACGTCCCCCACTACCTGCTCAGTGCTAGAATGGGAATCAGATTCCGCTTCGGCCGGTGTGTATGTGCCCCGGGGGCGTAGATGGTCCGAATTTCGGCGGACGATCCAGAAGTGCATATCGTTTTGGTTTCCTGCAGAGACGAGTACAGTTGATGGTTACCAGCATTGATCATGCGGTAGCCGAGTGTATACTGGTTGATCACCTCTGAATGCGCTCTCATCTTTTAGCAGATCTGATGACACAGACTTTGTCTGTCGCTACTCTAGTTCAATACGCGGGTTCGGAAACAACAAATGAAGCTGCGTCCAGAGATTTCTGCCGAACATTAGTTCCCCCACGGACTTACCGGTGGTCTCAGTGGGTTTGGAAAGGTAAGGGGAAATAGGAAACGATCCAATTTCGTTTGCAAATTTCCAACTTGCTGCTTTATTATGCCTTGTTCCACCGTTTGCACAGCCCTTTCTGATAAGCCGTTCGATGCCGGATGATACAGGTCCGTTCTGATACGTTGGATCCCATTGTTGGTAAAAAAACTTCCTAAATTCAGCACTGGTAGAGGCTTCCGGGATGCCAAAGGTAGCAAAGGAACAGCGCATCTTCAGGTGGATAGCCTGAGCTGGGGTGGAACTCAGAGCTTAGTAGTTCACGACTGACGCCCTGAACACTATGCCACTGAGATCCATGATCAACGCTCCAGACAGCAGAAACGAATTCAAAGTTGGAGTTGGAGAATCCGCTGTGTGCTTGGGTTGCTACAAGCTACCTCTATTGAGACCTCGGTTCACTTGAGGTAGACCTCGGTCATTCTGATCACAAAGAACCGTATGTAAAATGGAAATATTTGGGTGTTGCTTTTCCCAACACTGGCAACACCTAAATATTTTCATTCGTGTTACGGTCCTCGAGATCGGAATGACCGAGGTTTACCTCAAAGTGAACCGGGGTCTCAATAGAGGTTGCGAGTCGCAACCCAACCACACAGCATGCTCCCTAAATTCAGCTTTGAAGAGCGCGTAATAGTGGTTTCTGACGGTGCTTGAGTGACTGGATGCACATCAATCCATGTTGAATGTGCGTCAATGAGCAGAAGAAACATGGTTCCGTTTATCGGTCCAAAGTAGTCG